GCCACCCGACTACATAACGCCGAGAGAAATAAAGGAAATAATTAAAAAACTGCCAAACGGAAAAGCGCCAGGAAACGACAACATATCAAACGTAGCGTTAAAAAACCTACCGAACAACGTCATCACGCAACTTTCGCACATCTTCACAGCAAGCATCAGAACTGGCCATTTTCCATCGCAGTGGAAAAGAGCAGTTGTTATCATGATTCCGAAACCAGGGAAAAGTCACGCCAAACCTGAAAACCACCGACCGATATCGCTTCTACCAACACTGTCAAAAGTTTTTGAAAAAACCGTACTGACCAGACTGAAAACCTATGTCAAACCACGCGAAGAACAACACGCGTTTAGAGAAGGCCACTCAACTGTCACCCAGCTCGCCAGCCTGCTACAAAACATCAAATCCAACAGAAACGACAACAAATACACAGCGGCTGTATTCCTGGACATGGAGAAAGCCTTCGACCGCGTGTGGCACGAAGCCCTCATACACAAGCTAAGTGCAACCACAAGACTACCAATACACTTGGTAAAACTTATAAAATCATTTCTAACCGAACGTTCCTTTCAGGTCCGAGTAGCCGACCAACTATCCACGCCCAGGAACATAGAAGCCGGAGTACCACAAGGGTCCTGCATATCGCTGCTACTTTACGTACAATACATCAACGACATACCGACAACAACACAAGCGAAAACGGCGATATTTGCAGACGACACAATGTTCTACACCGGACACCAAAATAAAAATTTCGCAATCGTCCAACTCCAACGCCAAATCAACCTCGCAGTGCCATGGACCGAAAAATGGAGATTAAAATTAAACATTGAAAAAACCGAAGCAATAGTATTTGGCGTCAGGAGTAACAAAATAACCAGAAAACTGAAAATAAGAGACATACCGATAGCATGGAAAGACGAAATAAAATACCTAGGAGTGACACTCGATACCCACTTGAAAATGAACAAGCACATACAAAAAACAATACAGAAAGCCAGAGGAGTGAAAGCAGCACTTTATCCTATCATAAACGAAAAATCTACCGTTCCGCTGAAATCCAGACTGCAAATCTACTCAATCTATATAAAACCCATACTTCTGTACGCGTCAATAGCATGGAGCCCACACATCAGCAAATCAAACTGGAAGAACTTAGAAGCGGTCCAAAACTTGACAATCCGCATGATTACCGGAACGCATTACCTCACCTCAAATGAAACGCTCAGGAACTCTGCAAAAATTGTATCACTAGCCGAAACAACAGATTTTATGATAAGTATTTTCTTTTATAAAATGTCAAATTCAAAATACCCCCACCTACAAAAACTAATCGAATAAATTAATTAACTAAACTATTTTTTAGCAACACCGTGAACAAATATTCAAGCAAATACATCAGACAAGAGATTAAAGGCTAACGTCTGGAACTCTAAATAGGCCACAGGCCGTCATACAAAGCCAAAGGCAAAGGAACGTCGTATCATCGTCTGTGTTGTCGTAGCAGCAGCATTAGTTATGGTATTGGTTCTTCTCGTCTTGTAATATTAAAACGTAGTATATTGAAAGATCAGAGTTAGGCTGTGGTAAATCAATTTTTCACACATTTTTACATGTTCTTTAAGTCCCTCTTTCCCACTTGGACGAGTTAATAACGGTTGCTTGTTAAATACGCTGAGACATTGTTTATAATGATATTCTTGTCGTTTACTTTTTGAGCGTTGTTTTGATACAAGCCTTGAAAATTTTGAGATGGAACAATAGTGGTTAATTTAATTATTTTTCAAGTAGAGTAAATCAATATGTTCTGTAGCGGTTTTGGATTTAGATACACGCAATGGAAAAACAATGTTTTTATTGTCCAACGCATACACATTTACCGATATTGTAGAATTTTTTCGGTCGAAGCAATTAATTTGCTCAATTGGTGTTGGAAAATCAATACCGAAAAAATCTATGTTCTTTTATCTTTTTTATTGTAATGACATAAGATTGACCACTTGAAACATTGTTGATCATCGTTTTTAATATTTATAATAGACTTTTTAATTTTTATACACGATGGTAATTCAATATTCGATGATCAATTCTAAACATAACAGGGTATTTGCATATATTCTGATAATTTCGAGATTCGTTTTCGACTAAAAGTTCAATACTAGGTTCTGGTAGAAAATCGAACGGTACAAAAGGATTTTGCGGCATGATAACTAAAATAAAAATATTAACTTTATATAGAAAAAATATTTAGACTTATTTACCGTTATTCAATAATTATGATAAAACGAATTTTTATTTATAGAAAAATAACTTTTTACGCCAAATAAATTATTAGTAAAAAAATTAAATTTTACACTTGGTTAATAATCAAATTATAATACTAAAATAATAATTTAAAGNACTTGGTTAATAATCAAATTATAATACTAAAATAATAATTTAAAGAACTTACATTATTTTTTTATTCCTCGAAATGCAGTTGATGCAACAAGTATTCGTTACAGTATAATTTTTTTGTTCGTCAAAATGCAATTGAAACAGCAAATAATCGCTAGTTAATATAAAATTTAAAATAATCAGCATTTTATTATAATATTCTTTGTAAAGTAAGACTATAAAATGTTGCAATGCAAGTTAATATAATATGAATTCCAATAAGTTTGCAAAGATAAAAACATTTGAGTTCAATTAATTTGATAATATGAAACTTTTATTTTTTTTTAAATCTATTGTGACATTAAAAATAGTATATCTAATTACAATAATTAAATTTATACTTACAGCTCTATTTTTATCAAACGAAAAATGTAACTACAACAAATTTCTTTGCACAAAATCTGGTTGTTAGAACAAACTATTGCACTCTTATAATTCTTTCGAATGAATAAGCAGATCCAAGACTTTATATACTTGCATTGATTAAAAAAATGAAATGAAATTTAATTTATGATGTATTCTTCTGAGTTAATGATGAAAATGATAGTTGATCGTCCAATTACTTTTGAAATATATAATGTATTACATTTATGTCTCGTTTTCGCGCATGTTAAGTTCCAAGGAATTATTATTTAAACATATGCAGTGTTGTGATAACTAAATAAATATAACACATTAAATTATATACAATATGCTGTATTGTTATTTGTAAACTCAATATAGTTTATTATATCATTATTTAAATTATAGTAATTAACAACATTGGAAAGTAAAAAGATAGGGATAAAGATATATGGCGAGAGGAGGGTTAATACACTCTCAGAACATCATCTTCATATATCCTTGTTTGTGTAAAAAGTACTTGAAAAATGTAACATTTCACACTAAATGTAAAATGTAAAATTGAATCAGTATCGATCTTGATCGTATAGTTTTAGATCGTGTTAAAAGATGATGAATGACGGTATCTACTGGAGTTCAGACAACGACTCCGAAATTGGTAAGTAAAAAAATGTTAAATAATTACATCATAAATAGTAATTTAAAATATAAAAAAACAAATTTACTTTTACAGAAAGATATATTAGACTATATACTAACCCAACTCAAGAGTATCACACAAAAATTTCAACAAAAGTTGAAATTGATAGTATAAATAATAAGTATAAATATTAAATAATAGTTGCAAACATAATACATTTATTCTTTTTTTATTTTTAGATCCAAACTATAGTAATGGTGAATACCGAGATATCCGTTTTTTGGTGAATGGAATATGGTGTAAGTACAATATTTATTAAACATTAATTTCCAAAATAATTACTATAAACTTATAAATTTTTATTTATTACTGTAGCATCCTTACAACAAACAAACCGCTGGCAATTATTCAATATATATTTTACTTCTTTTTTTGTCGAGAGAGGATATATATTCACACACACGCAATAACGACGCCCATTAATACTTTGTATGGACTGGGTTTTTCCCATTTGGTACAATCCAACAACGTGCAGATATGCGAACCACCCCTTTCATGGTAATTTAAATTATCTATACTTGAGATGTACAATAAACGCCGATGACACCCGGCCTTATACTAAAACGCGTGTGGAGGAGGAGGACACGGATATCGTTGAGCTTTCGATTACTAGTCGGTACGACGAGCCGTATTTAAGCTGCTGGCCACTGTCGGCACGGTATCTCAAACTTCAAAACCAGTAAGTAACATAAAACGCATTCCACCCATCTTTTTGCAGATATAACCAGGACACATAGAGATCCATCGCCAAATTAATGTTTAAAATACCCGGACTAGACCAAGTTACAGCCAAAACAACGTCAACACCAGCACAAATACAAATCAACTGCCCGGACGAATACACATTCAGAACTGTGCAGATGTTCCTGACGGAAAACAAGCCCAAAGCCACATTTCACACTTTCGCGCTCCCACAGGACAAACATTTAAAAATAGTAATTAAAGGACTGCCACTGGACGTCACCACCGATGAGCTCAAGGAGGAATTAAAGCCGCTGGATACGAAGCAGAACACATCAGGCCATTTCTTAAAGACGGCAAAAGAATTCCCATCCACATGGTGTCACTAAANATATTTTACTATTTTTTTTTGCCGAGAGAGGAGATATATATATATATATATACACACGCGCAATAACGACGCCCATTAATACGTTGTATGGACGGGGTTTTTCCCATTTGGTACAATTCAACAACGTGCCGATATGCGAACCCTTCTCTTTTACGGTAATTTAAATTATCTATACTTGAGATGTACAAGAAACACGTCGACGACACCCGGCCTAATGCTAAAACGCGCGTCCCTCCCGCAACGGGATATGTAGATGTTATTTTCACACATTAGAATACGCGCGCGCCTTGGACAGTGCGACACGGCGTCCGATCACACTACGACACGATTTGTGTGCTAGCCCAATATAACACACACCGTATATATTTGGTATTATACTCTCGTTTTTAAACGCGACAACAAGAGTAAGAGAGAGTAGGTAGAGGGGGTGTTGTGGTGGTGTGCGTGATGGCCCTGAAAAGGGCCGTTTTAAAGTCTCGGATCGAGGAGACGCTTATTTGGAGCTGGTGTACTTGGTGACGGCCTTGGTACCTTCACTGACGGCGTGCTTGGCCAATTCACCGGGCAACAGGAGCCTGACGGCGGTCTGGATTTCCCGGCTGGTGATGGTGGAGCGCTTGTTGTAGTGAGCAAGGCGGCTGGATTCGGCTGCGATACGTTCGAAAATATCGTTGACGAAGCTGTTCATGATGCTCATGGCCTTTGAGGAAACTCCGGTATCGGGATGTACTTGTTTCAACACTTTGTAGATATAGATAGCGTACGATTCTTTCCTCTTTGGCTTGCGCTTCTTGTCGGACTTGGTGATGTTCTTCTGGGCCTTGCCAGACTTCTTCATCGCTTTGCCTGCGGATTTGCCTCCTGGAGCCATTTCGATTTTTGCGGGATAGCAGTGGACGTACGTGCAGTTACACTCGAACGGTATCAATGATGACCGTGTCGTTTTTCGGCACGGTGTATATATGGGGTGACGCGTTCACGGGAATCGGACGCCATTGGTCGCATCGAACAATGGCGGCCGTTTAAAGTAAAACGACATGGGATCCGCGCGAGGACGCGCAGAAACGGGACGTTGTAGCTCGTCGGTACGCCCGTCAACAACGCCATTGCCGGTGCAGAACCGACCGGTAAAATACCTATAAAACAACGCGGAAGGACCCGTGCCGTCATCATTGTGTTACTTTCGTTCGAATAGACAGTTCTCGCAACACTCACACATACCAATCATCATGAGCGGACGCGGCAAAGGTGGAAAAGCAAAGAGCGGCAAATCCAAGACCAGGTCGTCCCGTGCCGGGCTTCAATTCCCGGTCGGTCGTATCCATCGTCTGTTGAGAAAGGGCAACTACGCCGAGCGCGTCGGAGCCGGCGCACCGGTCTACTTGGCTGCCGTCATGGAATACTTGGCCGCTGAAGTTTTGGAATTGGCCGGTAACGCAGCCCGTGACAACAAGAAGACACGTATCATACCCAGGCACTTGCAATTGGCAATCAGAAACGACGAGGAGTTGAACAAACTCTTGTCCGGCGTCACCATCGCCCAGGGAGGAGTGTTGCCCAACATCCAGGCCGTCCTTTTACCCAAAAAGACCGAGAAGAAAGCCTAAGTTGTCGTTCTGCCCCGCTAACTAAAACGGCCCTTTTCAGGGCCACTACACATGTACTACAATGAGGGAGAGATAGTTATATATATGCTGTGTGACTGAAGAACGAACACGCAACACATTTTTCTTTTTATTGTTTGACTTGGACAATAAAGAACATAATAATCGTGTTGTGTGACACCCACGGACCACCGGTGATGGTGGTGTGTCCGGACAAGAATAATAACGTAAGTAGGGGCGGTAGAACGTGTGACGACGGTCGTAGATCATCGAATTTATTTTTAAGGATCGCGGTCCGATTCGAACTCGCCATAAAAAAAAAACACTATCCGTAGTATCATGGTGTATATAAAAAAACGTTGAATTCCGAAATCGTGTTAGATTTCATCGATTCGAAATTTATTACGCCGCACGCGTAGAGGACGAATTTCCCAACGATCTAACTTCGTACTACCTTATTATTATTGGGATAATACGAAACGCCCCCAACCAGCCAATGAACAACGAATTGCATCGTAACCACGTAGTAAATGATATTTGTCGCCTGCCGGTTTTCCCCGATTGTTGTTTACATTATTAGTACCGGGCTTCCCGGACGCGGCATTTATTTCCGTACGAGTTGAAATGTCATTTATACGTGAAAACCGAATCGTAAGAAATCAAGTCGATTGATGTTCATCGCCGGACGAAAACTCGCGAGGGTTCTTGGAATAACGTTGGTAGTTCGTATGAAGGCGGACAGAGAACAGAAAAAAAAAAATTCATAACGAGTCGAACGATGATAATAATAATAATAGACCGCGGACGTATAGATAACGGAACCGTCGTTTAACCGACCCATGACTTTTTTTTTTTTCCCCTCCGATACCGGTGTCGCGAAATGGGTTTTGTATAGTGTCTGCGTGCGCAGTCGCTATATTTATATAACTATTAATAATGAACATATAATAATGTGAGGAGGGCGTAGTTATTGTAAAGAGTATTTTTCCTAGGGCGTTCGATGTTTGGCCAGTCCTTTTTTTTTTTTTCATTATTGAAGACTATGGACGTCGTCAGCCGGGACACGACCAGACGACAGTCGAGGCTCGAGACCACCAGTTCGGCTCGCCGCCGAATCTTTTCCAAATCCTTATTATTTATTTTTACACCTAAAATTGTCGCGTTCCTTCAATAATAAATGTATAATATAACGAACACCACACCCCGGACGAAAAGAGAGAATAAACAAACGCCATGCGTGTGTTTCATGGAGAGGGGGGCGCCGCGCGCGCGTCTTGTTTTTTTAATTTTAACAACAATAACACACAACCACCGATGCATTATAATGCGCAATTGTTGGCCCTGAAAAGGGCCGTTTTAACGTGAGAAGAGAGCTGGCCGATGTAGTTTTGATACACACGACGAGCGAGTTAACCTCCGAAACCGTACAGGGTACGGCCTTGGCGTTTCAAGGCGTATACGACGTCCATGGCGGTGACGGTCTTCCTCTTGGCGTGTTCGGTGTACGTGACTGCGTCACGGATGACGTTTTCCAAGAACACTTTCAACACACCACGGG